GCGTGCTGCCGCGTGTAGTTGAAATGATGCTGCATAGGTAGGCAGGTGAAAGATACTACTTCCTTTAGGTCTCTCCCGCTGATGGTGATTGATGCTTCTTGTTGTTGCTGTTGTTGTTGTTGTTAATGTTGTTCGGGTATCTTCATCACCTCTGTACTCTTCACGTTCACCTGAACCCCCGTCTTCACTGCCTCTTCTACCAACTTGTTGGTTTACGCCTGTACATCATCGAGTTTGTGCGACAAGACATCAGACTCAAATCATCATCGTTGACGAAATCAAATCTTCTAGGGTCTGTTCATCGGTCAAACAGCGTATGCCCATCTTCTCACTCCTCATGGTTTCTTGCATGATCCGGTCGACCACAATACAGAAGATCATAGGTGATAGTAGGTAGCAGTCTTGTCTTACGCCTTCCTGTCTTCACTTCGAAGGCGTCACTGAGCTTTCCATTGTGAATCATTCGGCATGTGGCTTCTTCGTATATCTGTTGTATGAGGTTGGTAAATGTTTGTGGTACTCCGCAGTATTGTAGCAGGTGCCAAATTTCTTCGTGGCCGACGGCATCGAAGGCCCATTCAAAATGGATGAAGTTGAGGTGAGGTGGAGTGTTGACTGCCATTCTATGTTGTGTTCTATGATGACGCGTAGCATTGTAATTTGATCGACACATGGTTTGTTCTTCCTGAATTCAGCCAGCCAGTCTGTTCTGGTTGTGGTTTTGAGTCCAACGTATCTTCTAGTCTGTCCAGGATGATGCGGCTTGATATTTTGCTTTTGGTGGACAGAGGTAGGTGCATGAGTCGCGCTAGTTCTTGCTAAGACTTATGTCTCCCGTGTTTGAAAGTTTGTCAAGGTAGCTCACCTTGGAAACAGTTGGCAGGTGGGCTTCTGCACTGGTTCATCTTCTGATTCACCATCTACCTCTCCTGTTCTATCAGCTTCCATGTGTTCGTTGACATCCATTCCTCGTCTTGTCTTGCCTTATCTTGTCTTGTTTCCTCTTCCTCCCTAACACGGTTATGCAGGTTTTCTTCCATGCCTCTTTCAAACAGTGCAGTGTTCTTCCACTCCCGACCCTACAAGGATGTTGCTCGATACCTTCCATTCATCAGTCCTCACGACTGACTGACGTGAACATGTCCTTTGTAGTTTCGTCATTCGGTTAGTTTCTCCTGTTGGGTGTTCAACTTCAACTGTGGTCGTCTATCACCAACTTCTTTGAAGGCTTTCAACTTGATTTTCAAGGCAGGCTCCTTGCTTGCACTGGATAGTGTGTGGTGTAAACCTATCTACATCTGCTCCCCTTCTTCATCTGATCTCATCTCATCTGATCCTACCTGATCTGATCTGATCTTGTGTCAAGTAGGCTGGCTGCGTCTCCACTTTCTTCACATTCAGATGAAGTCAGTCTGACTTTTAGTGTGTCTGGTGTCTGGTGAAATCAACTCCATCTCACTGCCTCGTGAATATGATTGTCCCTTCACACACTGTCTCCAATCACCAAATCGTTGAATACTCAGAAATCTACAAACAGTTCTCCTCTCCATTCTCACTCATCACTTCACCGAGTGCTTCTCGACCCATGATGGATGAGTTGTCTTCCTGTGTTGTCCGCTCACAGTTTCGCATTCATGTCACCCAACCCATTAGAATGAATTTTCATGTCGCCAAATCGAGTTGTGTCTTGTCCAGTCCACTACTGATTGCAGTTGTCTGTAGAATTCCTCCTTCTTCTCTTCATCGGCATTATCTGTAGGTGTGTAGCGTAGTATTGTATGATTGTGACTTTCCTTCCTTTTAAGTTGAATCCATCTTGGTGTCATGATCCTGATCCTGCAGGAGGAGACTGGTTCCCACTACCTGAGAGCATTTGATGCTGTTGGTGACATCATGATAGCCACTCGAAAACTCAGTGTGCTTGTGGTTGTCGTTTGTGTGAAAATATTGGGGTAGATTATTGACTTTGCAGTTGACAGTTTAGAGAGTCCATTTTTATTGCATCTGCAGACTCCTGGTAGATTCCTAGCACTTCAATGCCATACCTTCTCATCTCTTTGGCAATCTGGACAGCCTTGCCAGCCAGCTTCAAACATTGGTCGGACATTCTATGTCTCCATTTTTACTTCTGGACTCATCCGAAAAAATAAGACAAATCGGCCGATTGGCTTCGCGAAGGCTTTGAGCACCCGGCCTGATTTCGTCTGTTCGCTTGCAGTGAGGAATAAGTTTATTTTAATTTTTAATATTTCCGTAGTGTTTTGAAGTTTGTTCACAGATTTGACTGGTTTTACGGGGTAGGGTTGTTAGATCCATGCCCAGCCAACTCTCTTTCCCCGGTCTTAGGACCAGCTAGTAACTAGTCAACTAGTTAACCAAGCAAGGTAATCTGTTAAAAGTAGAGGGCATGAAACGTTGACACATGTGTTTTCAAAGGTGTTTTTGTAGGATCGCTCACATTTTAGTGGGATCACCATGTTAGCAATTTTGGGGTCAGGTGAAGAATACTAGGCAATATGAGCAATTCGATTGATGAGATTGTTCACCTTAGTCGACTGAGATGGCTTGGACATGTATTGCGCTTGCCTAACCACTGTCTATCTGTACGTGCAGTGTCGAGGAAAATCGTTTAGTTGGGAAGACTGTTCATAGCGGTCAGACGAGGACGTTGCACTAGTTCATGAAGTCTCCCACTGTCGGTGTTAGGCGTGTGAGTAGATGCAGACTACTAGTTTGGGTCTTTTAGACGATAGGAGTCAATGGTTTATGACTGGTGGTGACATAACTGTAAGTCGGTCGCAGTTGTGCAGATGTCATAACTCACTGACGTCTACTCAAGCTTAAATATTCGAACCAACCTTTATCGTCAGACGATTTATTCCGTCACATAGCTTTGTCTACTTTGATATCAGTCTTTTCCTATCCATTTGTTCTTCGTATCCTACTGTGAACTGTGCGGACTCAAACTCATGCACCTGTGTGCGAGGATCTACTTTGATTTCTCTGTCTTTCTGTTATATTTTTCACAAATAACCTGTCTCTGAATCCTTTGGTGTTATTCAGGTTAATTTTTTGATTTTTGGAGAAAAAACAATGAATGTAAACAAAGTAGCATCTTACCTACTGTCTACTGTTGCAGCATTTCACCACAGATACTACTGCCAAGCTATTCACGTACACAACCTTCAAGATGTTATATTTTTGTGTGGCCGTACTGACTGATATCTTGATGTTATATAAATGAATACCAAAAAGATGCAATAGAATCTTTAGACAGTTGTCGTCACATGGCATATTGTCCAACAGCTTATCATACTTATGAAAAAGTAGTCTAATCAGTAGGTGTTCTACAAGATTCTTAGATAAAAAAGGTACTGGAAAAATCAAAGCAGACGCCATTTTGCCTTAACTAGCTTGCTTGGAATATATATATATATATATATATATATATATATATATATATATATATATATATATATATATATATATATAGTTATCACTTATTTGCAACGTCAATCAAGTAGGTGTATTTGACATTAACCATTACCAACACGAATGTTAATTTATTTTACTTCAACGAAATCCTGTGTATTATTTTCATATTTACGCTTTTGATTAAAAAGAAAGATCAGGATATAACTTGTACAAACTGTGTTGAGGAATATTTCTTGCTCATTTGCATATATATACCATGAACTAGTAAGAATTAGTCATCGAGGTAGATGAATTTTATAAAGTTTAACTTTTTGGTGATTTGGATATTTTGATGACGCTGCAATTATTGTCTTATTTGGTAACGCTGGTAGAAATTACATAAAACATTTTTAGCCCAAATATAAGGAAGCAAACAATTTCACTCTTTCAAACAAAGTCAAGCTGATGAGTATATAGTAACTTGCGAAAAATTTGAGTCACTTAGCTTGAAAAGTAATATGTTATGAAACCATAATCACTTCAAAAGTACATTGAACCATATTTCGCTGATAAACATAAACATATGGTCTAAGAATTCGACTAGTGAAGAAGATAATCTTTACTCAGTGTTTACATAAACCAGGTATTTTCTTTTCGCAAATCTGATGATCATTCAAACTCGTCCCGATGGTAAGTGATGTAATTGTAGGGTCCTCATACAATAAACATTCTAAAATTTAGTCAGATGCAAAAAGTATTTTTTTTAGCAGATTGTGTATACGACGACGGTAATTAAAATACAGCGTAACAAGAAAAAAATTTCATATAATTTAACAGATAAGTGAAGAAGAATGTTAGTCATACAACAGGTGAAATTTCACAGCTAAAATGATAGGTCCGCCATAGTTTCCCACAAAATGATAATCGTAAAGTTGTATCTCTAATCTTCTTCATATGAAGTTCTGTTTCAGTGAATTCAATAAAGTCTGCTGCAAGACTTGCAATTTTCATTAAAAAATCCCAAAATTGGTACCCAACATCAATGCTAGCGTAGCCCTTAATTACGATGAGTTATTGAAATAAAAATCCTTATAGTACAAAACCCTAGAGCAACACTGAATTACTGTACAGTAGATATGGTAAGCTCATACATAATGTAATTGCCAAGAAAGATTTTGTCGCAGAAGCTATTAAAGATGTCGACTTACACAACAGATTACATACCCTGGTTCAACATTGTTAAGAAAACTAGATGTAACAGAAATACGCTTGATATTTCGTCCATTTGATGAAAATCTACAATTATATGGAATGTGCTGGAAAAAATAATTTGAAAGAATTTTACGTTAACTTGATAACTTTCAAAGTTTCGACAGTTTTTTTTGCACTAAATAAAGTCAATTTCATTTGTTATCCCGAGATAAGAATAAGAAAATCAATTGGTTTCGATTTTATACTCAATGAAGACTGGATACCGTTAAACCTTTATTCATGTTCACTAATAATTTGAACAAATACATTAATTTACAAACATGATGAATGCAGTAATTAGAATTAAGCACAACCATTTCATACAGAATACTTACATGACAATAATATCCAACAGTTTGTTTAGGCTTACTTTCAATCAAATTTAAAGTATTTTTATGTATGTTTTCACTTTCACCGGGTAAAAACTTCTCTTCATTTTGATTATCACTACAATTTCCAGTACCATCTGAGATTCCATCATAGCTTTCTACTGGCCTACTTGAGTTGCTATATGATGCAGCCAAGTCAAGAGAATTGCGTCCTGATTGTCGCATTCGCATTGATTTTGTATGTGCTAGACGTCTAGCAGACGGAGAAACACAAAAGTGTTTCCAGTCTGGTTTGTATCCATAACCGAATGCATTCAAAGCTGCATTAAGATAAACGGGTTCTGAAGTAGAAAAAAAATTAGAATTTCTAAGTTAACTCGGATAATATAATATGTCAACACATGACTTCGTAACTCACTATATTCAATAGCACAAAGTATAACATTGCTCTAGCTCATCGACAAAATGGACAGCGAGACTGTTGCTTTCACATTATGATAAACTGAAAGCAAGCATTACTTACTTTTACATCATACTGTTTTTCCAGCTACAGTTGGCCTCTCCGTATATACAAAAAAATAAGATAATCGAGCAGTGCGAAGGGAATATCTCAAACATTTTGTCACTTAGCCATTAGAATTGCTTTTGCACTAGCGGTAAGTGTACAAATATAGAATCTTTTTCTTTTATTTATGTGCTTATCGTGCAAGTGTTGTAAGTACTCAAAACTACGAGAAACTCCAGGCAATAATTAATTTAAAAGTAACTGATTCCATAAAATGATCCGAGTGTACTGAATATGACATGAACACTGTAAATTCTTCAACACACCTAGCTACCCAGCAATAATTGTTACAAAGCATCAAGAAGAAATGAAGTACATAAGATTGTTGATGATACTATTGTAGATACCATTAGTTCGACCAACTGGTCTTGACGAAATCAGGTGGCGATCGCACTCGGACGGTGGTAATGATTCAACCAGCGCCTTTCATAATTTTTATCCCAACCCAAATTTTCTTTCACTCTCTGTGATCACCGCGTTAGAATACACTAACTGTTTCAAAATTCTTACTATACAGCTAAAGAACAAGCAAATCTGATCATATTCTGATCTATAAGCATTCGGTGTTATTTTCAGCTCATGATTTGAAGAAAGATTAATCAAGCCCTTATAACGGCAAATTGTCTTATCTGCATTTAAACCAGACAAATTTGTCTTGAGTTTGTTTGTATATTGTACTATGTGGCAAAATAAATGTCCCTTTGCATATATTGAAAACTAATCTAAGATCACTGCTTTGAGGTGTTAGTAGGCCAGTGAAACTTTTTATAAAAATCAAGGATTGCGTTTCTGAAATTCCCCTTGCTATTTCGACTTCCCCATAAATTCATCATCATTTTGATACAAATGTTATATTAACTTCTACGATTATTAAAAAAAGCGTCTGAATTGGGCTGCTTCATGAATACTTAACTATTTAAGTTTGCAGAGTAAATTATACATTTCTGTCATTTTACCAGTGCTTCTTAGACAGTTAGATGAATTTCCTAACAATATTGAAAACAATTTACCTGGATGATTTTTCTTAGGAGGATTGTCATTTTCTTCATGTCTTGAAAAAATACCTTCTTGATTTTGATGACTCATTTGAAGGTCGTTCCAGAAATCAAGCGAAACTTTATCTCTTTCTTTATCAATTGGTAGAGCAATACTCAAAGGACGTTTATGATGATGCTGTTCGTAGTATTCGTCATGAAAGTGAGAACAAAGAGAAGGATGACGAGTAGAAGGTGAAAAAGGTAACCGTGGTTGAATCTATTAAACGACAAAACAGAAAAGGCAAAACGAATCGTGATGACTCGAAAGTGATCAGAAAGTTGATTATCAATACCGAAATTCAGAGACAATATGGATTTTTGGAGCAGTTTTTAACATACGGTATCAAACTGGGTTGCGACAAAATGGAATTTGCTATAAAATATTAAGAGTCAATTACCAGCGAAATCTGCATTGAGTAGCAATGTGAGCCTTTAGCCTTTATTAGCATGGTGTATCTGCTAACTTGACAAAACATACGCTACATAGCAAGATCGAATCCTCTTTAGCCAGTGCTTAAGAAAACTGTACCACAAGGTTATTTCAAGGAAGCTACTTTACGTCTTAATAACAGTTATTTATCCAACTAACTTAAACTGTTGTAGGGAAATAACACAGCACAGCTGAAAAAATGAGTAGGGTGGATAATAAGTTCTTTAGCACAGCAGACAATAGAAGTGTAAAAGCAAGTGGCAAATACACCGATTATATCTACTAAAACTGAAAAAAATATGCTGCTCAACAATAAACAGGATATCGGAGATTTCTACTTCAGAATGTTTTTCAACTATTATTACTGTAGACTTCAGGAAAGATTAAGAGGCTGTATCAGAACCGTGACAATTAACTAAACCATAATTGAAAATCAAGGATAAGAGGCGAAATCTCAGTATTAATAGAAAGAAGGCACTGAATCCAATCATGTCAGACAAAAATATGGTGATACTACCAGCAAACAAAACAAAGAAATACCTCATCATAAACAAAGCATGTTATTTGAAGGAAGCACGTACTCAGTGAAAGCAGCACTTACCAAACAGTAGTCAAATCTTCATCAAATAATTGGCAACCAAATTCAAAGGAAATTAAACTATACAGTAAAATGTGGACAAGTCACAAATAAAGAACAACAGCGAAAGAAGACGAATAGCCCAGTCACATTTAGATTCAACAGTCAACTAAAAGTACACAAGTCTTTTAATAGTATCATTACAGTAAATTAAAACATCGTCTCGGTAAAAGTCAACACTAAATCAATTCAGCAGCTTACGTCCTGGAAAAAGTAAAAGATCCCAATATAAAAAAGACTGCAAAACAGCATCCTTCAATGTAACTGCAGTTTCCGCGCTAAACAAACTAGATCTCCCCAAAGATAGAATAGGTATTCTTCTTAGTAATATTTAGAATCTGGAAACGTATAGGAAAATCAAAACTGCAAAATTATTCTATCTAACCAACCTATGTCTTAAAAAGTGCTTAGAGTCCAATAGGAAGGTCTGAAAACCAACCAGCAGAACTGGCATAGGCCGATAAATATTTCGTAGGTCACTGAAGCAGCAATACACAGATTGGAACTAAAAGTCATTACGATAATAAAACCGAAAATTTGGATTCAGAATCGAACTGAAAAATAATTTCCATCTTATCAACCAAACCTTTGTAGGTTTTTAGTTTACAAATAAAAGAATATAGCAAAATCACATTTCTAAGCATTTCCAAAAGAAGAATACATGATGGAACCTTGCAAACACAAAGGCTTCCGAAGGTGGTACACGTAAACCAGACCGTGAATAACAGTGGTAACAAAGCAATATCTCATAAAACGAGTCATGAACAAACAGTATTTGCACATGTCAAGACTCACTGTAGTACTCAACGATTATGGAGGTTAGAAGAAATCCATTTTTACGAAGTATGCAGAGTCAGCAACTATCTAGTCAACTTCTTTAGGAAATGTCTATAGCTATAACTATATTGGCAATCCGGCAGTCGATTAGCCCACAGAATTTATAAGAACAACTTGTATTCAAACGATATGATATGTCATCATTGATACTAGTGAGAGTAGATGAATGCAACTGTAACTTTCGCTAGTACAAAAGGGAAATGCTACGACAAAAAAAGCTGAGAATGGCAAAAGCATTTCTGGAAGCACGGTACTTCAATCAAGTAACAATCAGTAGGCATGTTGAAACTGACCCAGTTTACAGACCACAAGGAAGAAATCAACCAAATACAAATAAACGAAGCAAGTCAATAACCAGAGGTTGGGTCTATGTCATAAGTCACATGTTCACAACGGTTGTGAAGATCAATCCTCGATAAAATTAGGAAGAAAATCATCCCTTTCCATGGAGTAATAACTTTCAATGTCTATAAATACGGTACATAAACATCTATACAACTTGAAGAAAATTCACTTTTTCTTGAAGTAAGTACTGATAAAGTTACCTAGCCTGCTGACGGAACGTCCATAAACTTGACCGCTTGAAGAACACCAAAAGGCATCAGTGTGGAAGATACCATAGGTAGTCAAGCAATTGTGAAGTAATACTGTGCTTGTTGTTTTGAAGGAAAGTAGTACAAAAACATTTGAATCAGCATGATTGCACTTACACAGCGCCATGCAGAGTTTAAAACCAATGATCTCTAGAAGAAAGTGACATTAAATTGCAATCTCAACCCTGAGTAGATTTCGATGCGAGCTTCATCCAAGTATACTCATATGATTGACAATTGACTCTTTGTGACTAGAACTCTGCACTCATCTTCGAAAATAAAACGCCATTCCGGAAATACCTATGGTTGGATGCCCTTACAATATTTCCGTTTCTCATCGTTTTCAGCGATCACTCATACTTGTACGGTAAGATTAAGTCGCCCCTTCTGCATTTTACTTACGTCTAAATAGAAAATTGGGTACCTCGTAATTTATTTTACTGTATGCATTTTACCAAAGGGGAAAATGCTATTAAATTAATTTTTCAAATCACTCTAATACCTGATACTCGTTCGACAATAGGATAACATACTCCTTGTTTGTTGACCGAACTATTAAAATATTGGTCAGAAAATGATCAAAAATGTAAAAAGCAATGGCCATGAGCAGAATGCTTTCCATGATATGTAGGGGAAACATTACTCAAACAGGGTTAAATAGCAATAAAATCGTATCTAAGACATCGAAGCTGACGCAGAATATCCAACCAGCTGTTTATTAAATATACATTCTGAAATATGACTGGCACAACCAGGTGAAACCAGTTTGCAAAACTTCATCGTCGAAATCAACTACATCTCAACTAAAGTGTCGTAATCGCATCCGAAGGCGTAGGTTTTGAAGAAATCTAGTCCGACTATTCGAATTCTCCTTGGTCTATGGATGCTATTTTTATAGTTTTGGCTAAAATGAAATAGGATTACTGTCCATCATCAAATGAACCTTTGTTACACACATCTCATTCAGTTAATGAATTTGCTTTACACTTATTATCACTCTCAAGTTAATTGCACTCAAAAGCAGGTGAACATAATGTATACATTTTTAGCTGAACATGTGTGCTTTGATAAATAATCGAAAATGAACAGAACGAATGTTCTTACTGTTCTATACTTCATCCATAACATGTTGCAACAAACAGCTTTCTTTATCTTATATAACCTAATTATCCGTGGTGCAAGTAAAGATAAGCGATAATCAGAATTCTACATAGATGTATTCGTATTGAAAATCTTAACTAAGGGCAGATATTAGTGCAACACCTGTTGATTTTGAAAGTAGGAATAGACTGAATTATGATCAGTTTTAATCTTTTCATCCGTACTTTTTAAATTTCTAGAGAATACTCGGGTGTGATTTTCCGCTGTGCTCGAGTCAGCTTAAATGAATTGTTTTTAGTAAAATAATTAAACATATAAAGCAAAATAATGCAGGTAGTGAGAAGTCAACAGAAAACATTCACATAATGGAATAAATTAAAGTACATGAATTCAGAGTTTTTCGAACATTATTACTTTAAACTACTCGTTTAAACGATTTCCATCACTGCAGTCATTTACGAGGTTGACTAAACGAAAAGTTGTCTATGTCAAGGAATTCCTGAAGAAGATACAAAAAGGTCCTGCTGTTTTGTTTCTAAAATCAAAGCTTTCCTTAATGTGTAACTATTTTACTGCTTGACGTTTACTACCCTGTTTAAATGACTTCAGTTTTATCGTAATTTTTAAGTGTGAGGCAACTACCAAGAATAATAATGGCGTCTAGTTTTTAAATTTGAAAATAAGCATGACTTTTTTAGCTATAACCGTAACTGAAATTAATGATGTTCACAAATAAAAAGCGATTGACCAACCGAAACCTGGAAAATAAGAACAACTTAAAAAATTCAGATAAGTGCGAATAAATAAACTAGAAAATGTAGTAGCCGAAAAATGTAAATCAGGTAAACATATAAACGTAACAAGTAACAAGGTATGTAACCTTCATTAATCTTTGTTGACGTCTCTCCTTCCATTGAACTTCATTGTCAAGATCATTAGATGGTTTAATGCCATTTTGGATGTATTGAGCTTGCGTCAAGTCACTAGACTGGTTTGCAGTCACGCGATACCTTTTACTCCCCTTACAGTTTTTACCGCCTTTATTAGTTCTTTTCAACCAAAATGACTGAGTGTGAAGCGGTATCAGTATATTAGGCATTATGATTTTGGATAAATCCCCTTTGACAGTGTTTTGTATCATCTTAAATCCGTATCAATAAACAAAAGTCAACATTTTAAGTTAGATACTGTAGAATGTTAACTGATCTGTAGAGATAATGTGCTATTGATAGAAGGCTTATAAAATAACAAAATAACAGACGTTATATTGTGTAATGGTTCGAAAGCAACCTATAGGGACAGAATTCACCAAGGTTAATCTGAATATAGACTAGCATGAATTAGCAGATAATACCGTGAGTTTCGCAACAAGAATAAAATACGAAAAACATACGAGTATTTTGATAAATTAAATTACGGCAATTCAGGAGGAAATAGAAAATGATAAAGAGAGTTTCAAGAGTTCTTAGTGCACAGCTAGAATTTGAATGCGACAAAATAAAAGGATGAGGCTAAGAACACCCTCCGCATACTTTTTCGTTCTACTATACATCAGAATTTCTATGAAACAACCAGCAGCCAAATGCCTTCAACATTTCATCTTACAGAATGCATTCATTCGTAATGTTTTATGCCCCTGTTGAACAAAATATAGTTTATCCACGCTTTTATAACTAAGTCTCTACGTTATCAACCTAGTGTTGGAGAGTACCTTATTGATGCCAAGATTTTTCTGATGAGCTCATTATTACTGAAAAGCTGAGTAAGTTGTTTGAAACATTCAACATAATCACTGTCCCACTCGCGCACATAATATTAGTTTTATTTGACTTCTACAATGACGTGAATGAAATAGAAAACTCAAGACTGTTATTCACCTTCATCTGTTTATCAGACTATAAGCACCCATAATCTGATTAATTAGTGCCATACTGTAATAAATTTGATTGGTGACTTTCTTCTAGAAACTGTTACAGTTTTATAATAACTTTCGTCATTTGATTCCTATTATTAAAAATCATGTATTTTTACTAATATTTTCCCGTGGAAGTATTATGATAGTTTCCAAACAAAATACGACTGCGATACCCCGTGATCCGGATACTTTTACCTAGTAAAACTCACCCTCAAATCGGTTTACCAGAAGACAAACTACAAAAAATTTGCAGGACGGTTTTACATTCAGTAAATTAATACATAATAGCTGACTGAATGATTCAAGTTAAATGCTTTATATGATTCCACATACAGCGTAAATAAAAAGACAAACTAAACTGACCTCACTGGAAAGTGTAACAGTTGGAGTAATTGAAGCGTCAGATATGTAACTTTCACCTGTTGCAGTATTCGAGGATATTGCTTTGGATGGATTTGAATTACTGACGCCGATATCAATGTTCAGAGGGCATTCAGTAGTTTGATATACTTCTAAAAGTAAAATCATTAAATAATATCATAGATTACAAATCACAATGATTCTTCATTCATAAATAACAGTTTCTATACTGGCTGTGTTTTCTTACAAGCAAAACAGATTAATCTATTAGCATTCAAAAATCTTTAAGAAACCGGAGAACTTAGGTCACTGAATTCCATGGTAGCGGTTGAAATACATGAAGGTCCTCAGTTTGATTTCACATGGAGTACCAGCAGTCCAGTGTCAAGTTCAAAACTAGTACAAACAACCATCCATTCCTCCCTAGTTTTCAATGATCTACTGGCTGATATAAATCAGAAATAGAAACACTTTTAGATTACAACTGGATGGATTTGGTTCTAAAGCCAACTTAAGTGATTCACTTAACCAAAATATTACAACACCGAATCCGACTCAGATCAAATAGATTAAACACAAGAACATAGTTGAACATATGATGGAATTTTATGCACAGAGATTAGTGATTCTGTATTTAAGCCATGAAATATATCTTTCAGAGGACAAATTTTAAATGGAAAGATGATATCGGCACTTCTACATTTTACTAGTTACCAGAATAATATCCAAGTATTTATTTTGCATTTAATTCCCATCAAAAACAAACTACGTTCTGTGATTCCATAACAAATGCATGTAACTTTGTAAACTAAATAACACATGAATATTTAAGGTGCAAAAGATTATGCAGAGAAAAGGATATCACACAGTTTAAATGTATGTATTCATTACCCTCTAAAAAACATGCCAGGCCAACTAGTTAACTAGTTACTAGCCAGTCCTAAGTTCCGGGTAAAGAAAGAAATTCAGGCATACGGCTAGCAATACCACCCCAGAAAACCAATACAACCCCAAAAGAAAATTCAAAGCACAAACAAAATATAGAAAATAATAACAAACTTATTCCGTACTGGAATTGGAAAGACGAAATGACACCAGTCGGTGAAAGCCTGCCTTCGGGAAGCCAGTCTGCCGATATGTCTTCGCCTTCCTCGATGAAAAAGAAAGTAAACATAGCGACATGGAATGTCCGCACCATGTTTCAACCTACCAAGACAGCCCAGATTGCAAAGTAGATGAGAAAGTATAGCAATGAAATGCTACGCTGGGAATCTGCGAAAGCACGTGCAATGGAAGTGGACTCTCCAAACTGTCAACTGCAAAGTCAACAATCTAAACCGGCATTATCACCCAGACGACAACCACAACCACACTGAATTCTCGAGTGGCTATCATAATGTCCCCAACAGCATCAAAGGCTCTCTCTCATGCAGTGGAAACCAATCGCCTCCACGATCATAACAGCAAGGTTCAACTCAAAAGAAAGGAAAGTCACAATCATACAGTTATACGCTACGCACCTACAAACGATCCAAATCAAGGAAGAAGGATGCATTCTACAGACAACTACAATCAGCACTCAACAAGACACCAGTTGGCGACATCAAAATTCATTCTAATGGCTGGGGTGACATGAATGCCAAACTCGGAGCAGACAACACACGAACACAACTAATCATGGGTCGAGAAGCACTCGGTGAGGTGATGAACGAGAATGGAGAATTGTTTGCCGAATTCTGTGCATTCAACGATTTGGTGATTGGAAGCACTGTGTTCAAGCACAAGGATTTCCACAAAGCGGCATGGACTTCACCAGATGGACACATCCAAAATCAGATCGACTTCATCTCAATCTCTAGAAAGTGGAGATGCAGCCCACTGGACACTAGGTCAAGGAGGGGGGCAGATGTAGGCTCAGACCACTCACCATCTAGTGCAAGGAGCCTACACTCGAAATCAAGTTGAAAACATTCAAGGAAGTTGATGATAGACCACAGCTCATGTTCAACACCCAGAAACTGAAGCACAAAACTACAAGGAACATCTTCACGTCAGTCATCAAGGCACAATGGGAGATGTCGACCAGCATCCCGGAAGAAACTTGTGTGGATCAACACTGGAACTCTTTGAAAGCTAGGAGGGAAGAAACATGCATAACAGTATTAGGAAGGAAGAAGAAAGAAGATAAGGAATGGATCTCGACGGACACATGGAAGCTGATAGAGGAGGGAGAGGAGGATGGTGAAGCAGAAGATAAACCAGTGCATGGATGCTCAACGACAAGAGGAACTGAGCACAATGTATAAAACACTACACTGAACAAAGAAGTCAAGAAGAGTGCACGCAAAGACAAAAGACACTTCTACGTAACACTGGCAAGTGAAGCAGAACAGGCTGCAAGTAGGAAAGACGTAGACTTGACAACATTATATCAAATAACCAGGTTACTATCTGAGAGGATATCAACACAGATGAAACCAATAAAAGATGATGAAGAAAATGTAATTACCAAAGATGAGGAACAAAGGAAACGATGGGCTGACCACTTCAGAAACCTCTTGAATCGGCCACCACCACCTGCACTTCGTCCAGAAATACCACCTCCAGACACACAACTACAAGTGAACACAAATCCTCCAACAGAAGTTGAAGTCCTGAATGCCACGAAGTTGCTGAAATGCGGGAAAGCAGAAGGACCACATGGAATCCCACCAGAAGCACTGAGAACAGACCCAGCGACAACAGCGGACATGCTTACACCATTATTGCAGAAGGTCTGGAAGGAAGGAAAAGTACCTGCCGATTGGAAGAAAGGCTACCTTGTCAAACTCCCAAAGAAGGGTGACCTCAGTGTTTGCAAGAATCGGCGCAGAATCATGCCCCACTCCAGTCCACCCACAGCAAGCAAAATATTAAGCCGCATCATCCCAGAAGAGACTGGAGGATGCGCTGGATTCAAAACTACGACCAGAACAAGCTGGATTCGGGAAACACAAATCATGTGCGCACCAAACTGCTACGCTACACTACGCATCATCACAGAACACAGTATAGAATGGCAGTCAACTCTACACCTCAACTTCATCGACTCTGAAAAGGCCTTCAACAGCACTGACCGACAAGTAATTTCACAGGCAGTTGCTGCCTCAACACTTCGAAATACCACAAACCTCTATCAATCTCATTCAACAACAGCTATATGAAGACGCCACATGTCAAGTAATTCACAATGGAAAGCTCAGTGATGCCTTCGAAGTGAAGACAGGAAGGAGTAAAACAAGGCTGTCTACTATCACCCATCATATTCCTGATTGTAGTGGACGGCATCATGCAACAAACAGTGAGGAGAGAGAAGAGAAGGATACGCTGGCTTGACCGATGAAAAGATACTAGAAGATTTAGATTTCGACAACGATGACTTGTGTCTAATGTCACACAGACTCGGAGATCTACAGGCAAAACTAACTGGTTGACAGAAGAGGTAGGGCAGTGAAGGAAGACGGGACTTCAGGTGAACGTAGAGAAGACAGAGGTGATGAAGATACTCAACCAACAACAACAACAACAAACACCAATCACCATCAATGGGAAGAACTTAAAGGAAGTAGCCTCTTTCACTTTTTTAGGCAGCACTGTCTCAACTACAGACGCCACAGGCACAGACGAGGACGTCAAAGCAGTCAGGATCCGAAAAGCAAGACGGGCGTTCATTAGCCTGAAATCAGTATGGAGATCTTCTGCACTCACCATGTGGAACAACATCCAGATTTTCAACACCAACGTCAAGTCACTGCTTCTGTATGGCTCACAGACTTGGTGCGTTATGAAGGACATTTCCAACAAACTACAGACATTCATCAACAACTACTCAAGCTGACTCATTACTGAAGATCAGATCAGATGGCCAGAATAATAAGAATAAGCAACAAGGAACTCTGGCCTGGCAACGAACTAACCAAGGGCCTGTCGCTCAGCAGATATGCAGAAGGAAGTGGAGAAGGACTGGATTGGGCATGCATTGGGAAGACCATTCGGGGACATCACGCGCCAGACCAGATCATCCAGTGGAACCCAGATGGGAAACGACGAGTTGGGCATCCCAGCTGAGGGTGACATGGAGGAGATCGTGTGAGGAAGAAATGAGAGTTTGTGAGCTGTCGTGGATCCAGGTCCAGAGGATTGCAGAGAACAGAGTGGAATGGAGACGCGCTACTGAAGCCTTATGTTCCACTAGGAACCCAAGGGACAAATAATATATGATACAATACAATAATTACCCTTGAAAGGGAACGCATTTCACCCGAATCAAAAAGCAACTATGATGCTTAAAAATCTTTAAAGAAACTGGGTGACTATTGCACGTTAATCCGAATTTAAATGACTTGAGATAAAATCTAGTAAAAGAAGAGCATAAATCCTCGTTTAGTTCATTGGCTTCATAGCACGAAAAAAATAAAAAGCTATCTAGTAACCTTATAGAAATGCAATACATCAAAATTCATGAAATAGAAAGTAAAATTGGTTACTTTTCCAGGATATTTTAAAATACTCTTCTATCCAAATATTACATTTTTGTCTAGATAAAGAAGTTTATAGACCGTTTTAGAAACAGCTAACGCAAACGCTTACTGTATACTTGATTAATAAGAGCAGTGTTTATATCATTACACCGTACAAAGAAGAATTGAATGATACCGTTTTGAGGGGGCTAAGATAATGACATTAGCAAAACATAGTATGCGTCTAAGACTTATCATTGTTGAGAAAACAAAACACAAGCTTCATCTTAAACATAAACAGTGTGTTAGTGACTGCTGTTCATCCCACAGAATTAAGCAGACTACATGTGTGTGTTGACGAGGAATCCAGACATTCAGATGAAGGCGGAGAACATTTTCCCAAAAGAAGGTTACCAACAGTTTAAGTGAAATTTGCAATAAATAAATGCAGGGATATAATCGAAAATAGTGTTAATGTGCGAACGGCTACCAAATTTTGTATATAAGTGCTAGAAGGTACATACTGAGATTTGCAGACGTGGCAACCCAACACAATTGATGAATGGACTTTAACGGTCACCCTAGCAACAACTAAAATAGCCTATTAGAAGTCTTGATTCGAAAAAAATCTGCCTCCCGAGTTGAAATAAACA